CCTCTTTTCGCAGTTGTTGCAGACCTTCAGATGGCCATCTTCAAGTTGGAAAGCCGCCTGAATGCTCTGGAAAAGTCATCTACCTCCCACCAGCCTTCGCCGGTTCCTCCGACCCAGGTGAGCCTTGGCAAAGCGCTGTTCTTGAACGCTTCACAGTCACAAAGTGCCAGGTTGTTTTTGAGGTCTCCCGGTTGTCTACTGAGGATGGAGAGATGCTTATAGTTAGGATGAGTTTGCAGCTTTTCCAGCAGTTTTGGCAGCTGCCTCCTCATCTTTCCCAAATAGTACGTGTAGAGAGGAGTGTTCTGCTCTGAGACCAGCAAAGAAGCTACGTTAGAGTTTTCAGCTAGGGAGAGCTGGTGCAGATCTGTGGAAGTTTGGATTTAATATATACTTGATTAGCATTTAGCCCATGGCGCTGTGAGTTTCTTAGCGCGCACCAGGTAAAATGCCACTTTGTTACAATAGATAAGCAGAATTGGTGACGCTTCTTTTTAACAAATGTCCCCTATAAGAATGTATTTAATTTATGAGAAAACTCTGGGGGAGCTGAATGCGTGGCACCAATTTGATTGATTCTTATTGTAGGTTGGAAGATGTGCTACCGGTGGTGCTGGTGGTCTCTGCAGTAAGCCTACAGAATGCGTAGGCCCCTCCTTATGCTAGGGGAAGATGCTTGGTTGCGTTCCCAGCTGCTGTCCCACTCAGACTCTTATGGTCTAGATATCCGGAGCCCTTAGGAGAAGAATGAGCTCTTGGCTACCTGCTGGTTTTTGCTCTAGGAATATAAGCACGGCCGTGCTGGGCCAGTTCAAAGGTCCATCTGGTCGAATGTCCTATTTTGATGGCTGATAGCTGATTCTTCACTCAGATGGTGTGGGCCACGTTCACTGTCTTGAGCAATGTAGACTTCTGTTCCTGAGCTTCTCCTGAGTGCTGCTGTGACTCAACTTCAGGTTAATATTCTCCCCTTTCTCCTTAATGCAAACTTGAACGCACGTCACCCCAATGAAGAAAGTGGAACCGTTCAGTGTTCCCTCCAAGAAAGTGGAGCTCCCGTCTGCTTCACCGGCAAAGAAAGTTGAACCAGCTGCTGCAGAGGAAGATGATGATGATGACATTGACCTTTTTGGTAGTGACGATGAAGAGGAAGACCAAGAGGCTGCCAAAGTCCGGGAGGAGAGACTGCGTCAGTACGCAGAGAAGAAGGCCAAGAAACCGGGTCTTATTGCCAAGTCTTCTATCCTTCTGGATGTGAAGCCAGTGAGTAACTGAAGTGGGGAAGCTCCTGAGTGAGGCTGTATGTCTTGTGCTGCAGGAGGCTGTAAATCGTCTCACTTCCACGTCTGAGTGGACTGGTGAAGATGGGACCTGCAGATTTCCAAACAAGGGGTCAGAGCGAGGTGGGATATTGCAGCTGGGATCTGTAGCCTTTGCACTGCTGCCCTGGTCCTTGCACTGTGGCAAGTGCAGGCTGTGTTATCTGAGGTTCCCCTGACCAGGACTAGCCCTTTTCTTTGAAGAAAAGGCAGATAATAAATGCCCTAAAGATAGGAATAAAACTTTGTCAAATTCTCATGGTAGAACAAAAATTCTGGGCTGGCTAGTGCTCCGAGAGATGCCCTTGGTAGAAGTCACTTTAAAGTGAGCGCTCCAAAGTGGTTGTGTCGCTGCAGGAAAAATCCCGCTTGCATCTGCAGTGCCGGTAGGTGGAATCGAAACAACGTGGTATGCAGCATTGCTGCAAAGTCAGATTTAGCTTGGCTGACCCCATCAGCTAATTCTGGTGAAAACAGTTGCCAAGAAAGGGCAGCTTGGATCAGCTGAAAGGTACTGAGAGGAGTAGTGTTGAATTTTAAGTCACTGGATACCTCTTGGGGCTAATGGTGACCTCTAGGAAAACACTGCTTCACGCTTTTCCAGTGGGACGATGAGACTGACATGGCGAAGATGGAGGAGTGCGTCCGGTCCATCCACATGGATGGGCTGGTGTGGGGAGCCTCCAAGCTGGTCCCAGTAGGCTATGGCATCAAGAAGCTCCAAATCCAGTGCGTAGTGGAGGATGACAAAGTGGGGACAGACATCCTGGAGGAGGAGATCACCAAGTTTGAAGACTACGTAAGTCTTTCAGCGAGCTGTGTAATGCTGGGGTGATGCCTGACCCGCGGGGTCGTTTTTTAACTAAGGTTCATTTGCAGATTTTGGCAAACTGGGATTTTTAAAAGAAAACCGCATGGAATTTTGATGGTGTCTGCCTGCTGAGACACTTGTGTAGTATGCTTAAATATATATATATATTTTTTTTTTAGGGCTGGCTGATGCAAATATCTTGCAGATATTTTGTAGAGCCATTTTGCAGGCTCTTGCTGCTCATCCAGCCCCCACCGACTGTTACTTTGGGGAACCCCTGCTTTTATGCTTAGCCTGGGCAGCACCGGGGTAGACACACAAATGTTTAACCTTGGTGGCTGGGGCTGGAGGAGTTGTCTCCAGCCCCATCCTTCTTCCTTCCATGGAAATGGTAGCAGGAGCTCCAGCCCTGTGCCAGGTAATATGCAGGCTCAGTAATGCTCCCAGCCTCACTGCTGGGAGAGCAGCAGGGCAGATACCTGTTTTTATTGATCATCTTTGCCTACTCTTTTGCTTATATTTAGAGTAAATCAGGAACTTTAATCTTAACGTTGCTAGAAACTCTTAATACGATGTTCTTCGACCGTCTAAAGATTTGTGCAGTAACTAGCGCGGTGTCCTGATGTGACTGATCTTGCAAGGAATATTAAATAACAGTCCTTAAAGGTCCTCTTGCCAGAGCCGGGGAGCTGGCCTAAGAGACCCGGGCCATTCTTGATCTGTTTGAGCATTGCTAGTGCCTGCCGTGAAGAAATCCCCGATACGCTTTCTCTGTTTTAAATGTCTGGAAACACCTTGGTGACCCCTAGCTGCTGCTTTTGTTCTCTTTCAGGTGCAGAGCGTTGACATTGCTGCTTTCAACAAGATCTAGAAGCAAAACTGTATCCCCTCTGAAACTGTAACTAATAAAGATGAAGATTCAGAGTGCAGACTGGATGATGTTTTTCTCTGCCGAGTGCAACTTCTCCGCAGTGATTTGTTGTGAGACTTCAGGATATTTCCCTTCCTTGTTCCCTTCACAGAAGGAAAAGCCTTGAGACGGGGGTGACCTACATTTCTGGGTTGGATTGAAGGTCTGAGTGGCATGCTGTCAGAGTAGCCTGCGCTAAGGGTGTTTGCACTCACCTTTCCCAAGGCAGAGACCCCAGTCAGTCTCATCAAAAAAATCCCAGGATGGATCACTAGGAAGCGTCCAGGAATTGCTGGTTTGGGATTGAATTTCCTCCCTCTTTTCCCCTTGCTGCTTTCGATATCCTGCACAGGTCACTTCAGCTGATCATTTGGTTTGTTAGGAACCAGGGCCATGCTGAGCGTGGCCTGTGGAAAGGGGAGGCAGGCGGCATTTCTAACCATAGGCACTATGCGGTGCATCGCAGTGCCAGAGTCCAGGGTCCAGGCGCAAGTTGCGCAGTGTCGACACGGAGCAAATCGGAAGTGCCGTGGGGTCGCGCAGCAAGCGCCAGACAAAGCCACAGCAGCGCCCAGCCTGGGCGGTACGCAACAGCCAAGTGATGATGACTCCAGTGCCAGCTTTCCTGGCTGCGCGCAGTGCCCTGTGCCTGATGCTTATCTTTAGGGAAGTGATCGTGCCCCTGTACTCGGCACTGGTGAGGCCGCACCTCGAATACTGTGTTCAGTTTTGGGCCCCTCACTCCAAGAAGGATGTTGAGATGTTGGAGCGTGTCCAGAGAAGGGCAATGAGGCTGGTGAGGGGTCTGGAGCACAAGTCTGATGAGGAGCGGCTGAGGGAGCTGGGGTTGTTTAGCCTGGAGAAAAGGAGGCTGAGGGGAGACCTCATCGCTCTCTACAACTTACCTGAAAGGAGGTTGTAGCGAGGTGGGGGTCGGTCTCTTCTCCCAAGTAACTGGCGAAAGGACGAGAGGAAATGGCCTCAAGTTGCGCCAGGGGAGGTTTAGATTGGATGTGAGGAAAAATGTCTTTGCTGAAAGAGTGGTTAAACATTGGAACAGGCTGCCCAGGGAAGTGGTTGAGTCCCCATCCCTGGAAGTATTTAAAAGACGGGTAGATGAGGTGCTTAGGGACATGGTTTAGTGGGCATGGTGTTGTTGGGTTGATGGTTGGACTCGATGATCTTGGAGGTCTCTTCCAACCTTAATGATTCTATGATGTGCCCTATGACGATGTGCAGGTGCCCAGGGAGCCTGGTGTTGAGCGGTGCCCTGCATGCAGTGCCTGGTGCGGGTATGTCTGGGGCCTGGCTACTCGGGGGGCCTGCTGTGTGCTGGGGTACGCAAGCACAGTGCCTGCCGTGCCCCTTGGGGCTGGTGATGGTATTCACAGTGCTGGGGTCGATGGACGTGGTGCCTGCTGTGCATGGTCTCCCTTGCCCCGGTGTTGGTGTGGCCAGTGTTTTGTCATGCCTGGTGTGTGGCATGTGCCCCGTGCTTTGTGTTGGGATACCTGGTGTTCTGGGTGTTTGCACCATGTCCCCTGTGCTGATGTGCCTGGGACTCCTTGTGTGTGGTGTGCTGTGTGCTGCCATCCCCGGAGCCCTGCCTGCCTGGTGCTGGGGGTGCCTGGTGTCCCATGTGCCTCTTGTCCCATGTGCTACCATCCCCAGAGTCCCATGTGCCTGGTGCTGACACAGCTGGGGCCATGTGTGCCTGGTGCTGGGCATACAGTGTCCCATAAACCTGGTCCCAGGTGCTGCCACCCCTGGTGCCCTGTGTCCCCTTGTACCACCCTTCCCCATGTCCAGCATGCCACATGCCTAGTGTCCTGCGCAGCCCTCTCCCTACTATGGCCCGCGTCCCCTGTGTCCCGTGTCCTCCTGTATGCTGCCCTCCCCCCTGTGCCATGTGTCCCTTAAGCCACCAGTGCCCCACATGCCTGCTGTCCCGTGTGCCCCTTGTGCTGGGGATGCTAGGCGTCCCGTGTGTCCAGTGTCCTGTGTGCCTGGTGCTGCCCATTGTCCCACGTGTCCAGTGTTGTGGGTACTCAAGTGTCCCATGTGCCTGGTGCCAGGGGGTGCCTGGTGTCCCATGTGCTGCCACCCCCAGAGGCCCTGGTGTTCTGGGTGCTGGCACGACTGGGGCCATGTGTGCCCAGTGCTGGGTGTGCAGTGTACCATATGCCTGGTGCCCTGTGTCCTGTCTCCCCTGTGCGCTGCTGTCCCTGGTGTCCTGTGCCCTGTGTGCAGTGTCCCCGTGTGCTGTCATCCGTGGTGCCATTGTATCCTGTGTGCCCTGTGTGCTGCCATTCCTGGTGCCGTCTGGGCCCCTCCCCGTGTGGCCATTCCTGGTGCCGTGTGTGCCCTGTGTCCCCTGTGTGCTGCCGTCCCTGGTGTCCTGTGCCCTGTGCAGTGTCACCTGTGGTGTTACTGTGTCCTGTGTCCCCTGTATGATACCGTCCCTGTGTATCCTGTGTGCCCTGTGTGTTGCCATTCCTGGTGCTGTGTGGGCTCCGTGTCCCCTGTGTGCTGCCATTCCTGGTGCCCTGTGTCTCCTGTGTGCTGCCGTCCCTGGTGTCCTGTGCCCTGTGTGCAGTGTCACCTGTGGTGTCACTGTGTCCTGTGTCCCTGCCATTCCTTGCCCTGTGTCTCCTGTGTGCTGCCGTCCCTGGTGTCCTGTGCCCTGTGTGCAGTGTCACCTGTGGTGTCACTGTGTCCTCTGTCCCCTGTATGATACCGTCCCTGTGTATCCTGTGTGCCCTGTGTGCTGCCATTCCTGGTGCTGTGTGGGCTCCGTGTCCCCTGTGTGCTGCCATTCCTGGTGCCCTGTGTCTCCTGTGTGCTGCCGTCCCTGGTGTCCTGTGCCCTGTGTGCAGTGTCACCTGTGGTGTCACTGTGTCCTGTGTCCCCTGTATGATACCGTCCCTGTGTATCCTGTGTGCCCTGTGTGCTGCCATTCCTGGTGCTGTGTGGGCTCCGTGTCCCCTGTGTGCTGCCATTCCTGGTGCCCTGTGTCTCCTGTGTGCTGCCGTCCCTGGTGTCCTGTGCCCTGTGTGCAGTGTCACCTGTGGTGTCACTGTGTCCTGTGTCCCCTGTATGATACCGTCCCTGTGTATCCTGTGTGCCCTGTGTGCTGCCATTCCTGGTGCTGTGTGGGCTCCGTGTCCCCTGTGTGCTGCCATTCCTGGTGCCCTGTGTCTCCTGTGTGCTGCCGTCCCTGGTGTCCTGTGCCCTGTGTGCAGTGTCACCTGTGGTGTCACTGTGTCCTGTGTCCCCTGTATGATACCGTCCCTGTGTATCCTGTGTGCCCTGTGTGCTGCCATTCCTGGTGCTGTGTGGGCTCCGTGTCCCCTGTGTGCTGCCATTCCTGGTGCCCTGTGTCTCCTGTGTGCTGCCGTCCCTGGTGTCCTGTGCCCTGTGTGCAGTGTCCCCGTGTGCTGTCATCCATGGTGCCATTGCGTCCTGTGTGCCCTGCGCGCTGCCATTCCTGGTGCCGTGTGTGCCCTGTGTCCCCTGTGTGCTGCCGTCCCTGGTGTCCTGTGCCCTGTGTGCAGTGTCCCCGTGTGCTGTCATCCATGGTGCCATTGTGTCCTGTGTCCCCTGTATGATACTGTCCCTGTGTGTCCTGTGTCTCCTGTGTGCT